CATTTTTAGAATCTGGTACCGTATATCCTATTGCTTTTCTTTTTCATCTCTTGAGCACCTGTATATTTGTTACAAATTTTATTTCAAGCACGACATGACTACTTTTTCCAAGTGAGCTCTGATAATGTATGCAGAGTATTTAAAAATTTTTTTTCCCTATAATGTTCTGATAATTAAAAAAGGGCCCTCATTACATCAAGAAATTTATTGACCTTTTGTTTGTTTCAGCCCAAGGTTATAAAGTCTGTATATTTTTATAGTGTATATTTATTTGTTGTCTACATATAAATTAACTTATTTTTTTTAATTTTAGACACCGGGGAGAACTTACCAGATAAGTTCAGCGAGAGTATCCAGCATGAGGGAACCTGGATGTCCGTTTCCCAAGGTAATGTTTGCATAATATGACTTTTTTTCTTTTTCTAACACCCAGCCATTTCCTACTGAGCTAGGGTGACCCAACACAGGAGAAAAAACTTTGTGTCACTCGTTCAATCACTGTCTTGCTTGGAGGGGTGCCAACATCACAGTTCAGGTGACTCTCCAAACTGGAACATCCTCACCCCTCCTTCAGAATGCAAGCACTGTACTTCCCACCTCCAGGACTCTAGTCTGCCTAACCAGTTTCTGGAATTCCTTCACAGATGTTACCTTACTCACACTCCAGCAGCATGGCAAATCATAAAAACCACTCATCTCCACTCTTATCTAACATGTTTATCTAACACGTCGGAGGTCCAGCTCCCAAGTACTCAGACCCACCTTTACTCCTACCCTCTAACCTTTCCTTGGATGACTTCTACTTCCCTCCATCCCAAGTTTATATGTCCTTTTAGTCGTCCTATTTTTCATCATCCTCTCTAAATGTCCGAATCACCTAAACAACTCCTCTTTTGGGAACTCCACACCTAATCTCCAAACTCCAAATTTTGTGCATAATATTCACACCACACATTGTCTTCAAACACAGCATATGTATTGCCTCCAGCCTCCTCCTTGCTGCAACATTCAAAATCCATATTTCATACCCATACAACAGTGTTGGTTCCATTACAGGGTCAGAGGACACTCGCTCAACTTCCTAAAATCTTATCTTAGTGGTAGACACCAGTATGTGTACACAAATGGCATGACCTCCAATACTCAGCCCATAGTTGTTGGAGTGCCACAGGAAAGTGTCCTAGGTCCTCTACTCTTTCTGATTTATATCAATGACCTTCCAAATGCATCGTGGCTCCTTAAACCTGTTCTATTCGCAGATGACACCACTTATGCCTTCTCCCACTCAAACCTGGCTATACTTAGAAAAACTGTAAAACGAGCACTAAAATTTTCAAACTGGGTGGCTACCAACAAACTTTAAACCCCAATATTGACAAAACCCTTCATGCTTTTTGAAACAAGCATCAAAACCACTAAAAATTCGATAAAAGGTTCCCCATTCAAAATCAAAAGGAAATTTTCTCCACCTTGACTGTAACTTAAATTTCAGACCCAATCCATACTAACTGGAAAGTGTCCAAAACAGTAGGTATCCTTTCTAAGATAAAACATGTACCCCCAAGGGGCCTTTCCTTTCCTTATCACTCTTAATATACCCTACCTCCCCTATGGATTTGTGCTTTGGGGGTCTTCCCAAAATAATCACCCAAAACCCTTTTAAAAACCCAAAAGAAACGGGGGTAGAAGACACAAATTCCAGTGCCAGACAACACACCCCACCTCCTTCAAAAAAATAAATTTCTTAATATCCATAATATACACACTTATTATTGTGCTACTACATAACAGAACATTAAACCTAATATCAACCCTCCTTCAAACTTCTAGACAGTTTAAACAAACACACAGCAAAAACTGGCACAAAACATTTTTTGACATCCCCTGTGCCACTCACATTTTGCAAAATGAAAACACAAAAAAAACCCCCTAAGACGGGGAACTTTTTCCCCAAACACAAGAGACCCCTGCCCAAAAATCAATTTAGGATCATCCCAAAAAAATCATCTCATCTCTCTTTCCCAAAACCCCCCCACACCTACAAAACCCCCAACCCAAAATTTAAAAAGCACCCCCCAAATACTTTAAACCCCTTAACTATTAACCATTTTTACAAACTTATTTTTGTATCCAACTGTACTACCACATATTAATAATAAACTAAATGAGTTTAAATTAAAAACTTAAAAATGGTGTTTGATTGTACAAAAAATTTAAACTACCTCATTTAATAAAAAGTGAAATATAAATATTTGATTCTGCCTTTGTAAAAGAACCAAATTTTTCTTAATTAAAAAGTAAATTGTCATAAATTGACTCCCCTCATATTAACAAAGAGTGGAGACGACTGTACAGTGACCCCCTTTTAACGATTTTTTTTCACTCCAGAAGTATTTTCAGTCCCAGACTACCGAATTGTTCCCAAAAAATATTGTGAAGAAATTTAGCCATTTCAACCCCCAAAATACACAAAAACGCATTTACATAAATACACTTACAAAATTTGGTCACATTCGGGTAATCGTTACGGGGGTCCACTGATTTACCATTTTTTCCCCTGTGTAAGTACCATTAGGGAAAACTGCCTAAATGCCTAGCAAAATATTTACTTTCTTTTCTCCATTTATACTATATGTAACACACATTGTAACCTTAACAAAGAAATAAATGTTTTATTTTATTTTATTTTATTTTATTTTATTTTATTTTTATTTTACTATACTCTGATACAGTCCCCTTTTTGTTTCATGGCTAAAATTTTGTCTGCAGATGCTTCATTGCACCACCCACCTTTTTTCCCCGTCAGTTCTGTGGCTCACCTCATCTCTCATAGAACCATCTGCATAATATTGTACCTTATTTGTTGCCTTATATGCTAACTAACAATTTTCATAATGAGTTTTAAAATTTGTTGTGGAAACTGTTTTTCATTGTGCCATTACCTGCAATGTTTGTGATTCCATGTGATACCTGTAAGTTACTTGATGACTCCAGGAACTATTGCCTTTGTCGTCCAGTCATAGACGAGTCCTCACTTTTGATAGATTGTTCAGTGATTCTGTTGGTGCTAGCTTCATGTAATGTAATGTAAGCACCATAGCTTGGTTGATCAAGAAACTGTTAAGATACCTCTTGAATACAGTTAAATTTATTGGTACTTCATATTATGTTTGATAACAGGTTGTTGAAAAATCTTGGACACACTGTGCCTGTCTGTGGTTTATTAAATATAATTGTTCATATTTTATAATTCGTTAGGCGGTATTCAGAATGACTTTTGGACTCTTCACTCCTGCCTTTCTACATTTTTATTAATGAAAATTCTAGTAATTCGGTCTTGTTGAAGGCTAATGATAACATTGTTAGCGACTTAAACTTTGAAAGTATTATCTGGAATACCACCTTTCTAGATGGGAAAAGTTGAAATGACCAAAATAGTTTTAATTTAGAATTTTTTATTAATATTAAATGGTATTGCCAACTCTGAAAACTTTAGTCTTCATTCCACTTTTCAGTTGACTTTGTTTAGCACAAACTTTTTTACATATAAATCCTTGACACAATTTCAGTATAGACAGAAATCTTAAAACTTATTTCAATTTTATTTGCTTTTTAGGAAATTTGCTCAGTGATATAAAATGATATATGTTGTGAGATACTACTGTACAATTCAAATTAGGTCATTATGTAGAACCTAAGAAAGAGGGTAAATAAGTGTGCAGGATGTGATATAGGGTGTAATTACAGAAGTTGGATAGACTGTATGTTAGTAGCCAAAAGGTTGATGGGTAGACTCCTCAATATGCATGTTTTTAAAGAAACAACATATAAAGCAGATCATTATTTAGTGGTAGCTATGTACAGTGAGAGTAAGAGGTAGTTGGGATATGAGGCAAATCTCATTATTAGGTAAGAGGGAGGTGAAAATGAATAAATTAGAAGAGATAAGCCAAGATATAAGGAACTGTTGGGGTGGTTCAGGCACTTAAATATGGAGCAAAATAGGATGAGGAGGGTATATAAATCAGGGGTGGGGAAAGGAGGGGTAGGGGTTGTCCTAGAATATGTTGGAGGAAGAGGGGTAAAGGGGGCTTGGGAGTGCTAATGTCTTGAGCATCCATCAGGCTTCTGTGCATGTTAGATTAGGATGTGTGGAGGCAAGAGGTTTTTGTGGGCTGATGTGCTGTTGAAGTGTGAACAAGGTAACATTAATGAGAGAGTTCAAGGAAAACAAATTAGCTGGATTTAGTCCTGGAGGTGGGAGTTACATTGCCTGCACTCTAAAGGAGGAGTGGGAATGTTGCAGTTCAGGGGCTTTTTGAACTGTGATGTCAGCATGCTTCTGGCAAGGCATGATTTAACCCGTAAATGATCCAAACGTATATATACGTTCACTACCGTACTGCCCCAACTTTTTTGAGAAAAAATACATTGTTGTTTTTTAATAGGAAAAAAAGAGCATATGGTACCCAGGCATCCCCAATTATTTTAATATGTTGCACAATGAGTGCTCACACCCATTCTCACATGTCTAGGCGACTTAGGCTTATCGTGGCAATGTTAAATGTAGGACACATAAAACGTATATATACGTTTGGGGCACTAGCGGTAAAAACGTATGTATACGTTTGGACCGTTTACGGGTTAATGAATGATGGTAAAAGTGTTTTCTGTGGGTCACCCTATCTCAGTGGGAGATGGCCAGTTCTTTAAAAAACTCAATGAACAGGTTCCCGAAGACTTGCAGTATAGAGCACATGAATTCTTGAGAGTGCATTTCATCACAAATGCTGAAAAGTGTACTGTATTTATAGATGATGCATTATAAAGTCTATTGAGACAACTGATTTTTCTCAATGTATTTCCTTCAATGTGTTTTCGTTCTCTTATCTCATATGAAAGACTTGAATTTATGAACGAATGACACATCCCACAAACCTTTATTTAATTTTTAAGGTGGTTATGGAAAATATTATTTTTATAAAAAATTACTAAATTTTATAACTTCTACTGACTGCAGCCCTCTTACAAGACATGGAAGGCCTTCGTGGACAACTGGATGGAGAACTCGACTCTATATCACTAAAACGTATAATGGTTCAGATTCAGGATAAGCTCATTTCAACACAAGAAATTGGAGATGATAAATTACAAATTGTCCAGCATATTCTTGACATAATTGAAAACAGACAAAGACAGCTTGAATTAGATTGCAAAAACTTGGGTAAGATTACTAATTAAGTGTTTTACTCTCTGTTATCATTGTTATTTTTCATTCTGTCTCATGAACACAGAAGTCGGTAGTTAAATCACACAAACTTATATACTTGCATTCGGTACATAGTATACATATCTTTACTGCATGCCTTCAAAGTTCTTATTTTTGTAATGCACCAGGCCATAGGAGCCATAATCACTGAAATTACTAACAGATAAGGTATATTTTCAAGCTTTATGCCAAGGGGGGGGGGGGGAACTTGACTCAGACTAACAAAATCAGTTTTGAGGTGCAGCTTTAAAAAAAATATTTTCTTCTTGTTAATTTTTTTTTTTTTTGGAGGGATGAAGGTCAGGGGAATTTATTTCCCCATAAGGTTAATAAAATAAATAAAACCTGGTGGCCTGGTGGCTAAAGCTCCCGCTTCACACACGGAGGGCCCGGGTTCGATTCCCGGCGGGTGGAAACATTTCGACACGTTTCCTTACACCTGTTGTCCTGTTCACAGAGCAGCAAATAGGTACCTGGGTATTAGTCGACTGGTGTGGGTCGCATCCTGGGGGACAAGATTAAGGACCCCAATGGAAATAAGTTAGACAGTCCTCGATGACGCACTGACTTTCTTGGGTTATCCTGGGTGGCTAACCCTCCGGAGTTAAAAATCCGAACGAAATCTTATCTTATCTTATCTGTCTAATTCACAGTAGATTATGGAACATAGCACTATGTATTAACAATCTCTTCTATAGTTTATCAGGTTTTATGCATAGTTTTGCTCCATTTCACTTGGCATGGCACAAGGTTCTTTATTAGAAATACTAAAAGATATTTTGAAAAAGAGGTTGCTTATTTAGGAGTGTGTGAGTTTTTGGGAATGTAGGTTTTAGCACTGATGTGTTTTCAGAAAAACTGTAGAAAAATAGCTCTTCCTATACAATTCATCAGTGGTTTGCTAAAGTCAGTAATCCACTTTTAATATTCTTATCTAGTTAAATACTGGAGAATATTTCTGTTTTTTGAAGTACAGTACATGTATCTGTAAATTCAGACTAACATTATATACCTGCTGGAAAATTTCTCTTCAATATTAATTTTTTTTTATAGACTTTGGACAAGAACCAGAAAAGCCTGAAGCTTCAAAAGATAATCAACCAGAGAGAGCCAGCAAGAGGGCACGGCGGACCAGAAATGATCATGCTTCAAATCATAATGAAAATTCAAATGATATGCCTACAACACCTCATATAGAAAAAATAATAACAAATAAGGTGAGCTTTAGTGTTCAGAATCTTTCAGATATGTGGTGTCTACATACAATTTTGTACTAAGTTTGTGCAGAACATGTGGGGAAACTTGTGTTACGTTCTCTTGGCTTCCAAAAAATGCCATGTTTCGTAATTTGTCAAAAATAATAGGGTTTCACTGATTAAATCTTGTGGAACCAGTTTATGTATGGACTTTGTCTAGGGGAAAACTCCAATGGCAACAAGGGTTTATTGTGGCAAATATAGCCTTCTTAACCAAAGAGGCTTTTTTTTGTTAACCTTCTTACTTTCTTTAGGATGACCAAAACTCACAAGTAAAATCCTTGTCTTTAATAATAAAAAAACTTATATTGGATCTTATTTTCATTAAAATTTCTTGACAGTGCCTTGGAGTGAGTTAAACAAGTTAAGAAAGCCTAGGGAAAGTATGGATTTGTCCGTTAAAAACAGAGTAGGGGAGTTAGTAGATGGGGAGAGGGAGGTATTAGGTAGATGGCGAGAATATTTTGAGGAACTTTTAAATGTTGAGGAAGAAAGGGAGGTGGTAATTTCATGCACTGGCCAGGGAGGTATACCATCTTTTAGGAGTGAAGAAGAGCAGAATGTAAGTGTGGTGGAGGTACTTGAGGCATTACATAGAATGAAAGGGGGTAAAGCAGCTGGAACTGATGGGATCATGACAGAAATGTTAAAAGCAGGGGGGGATATAGTGTTGGAGTGGTTGGTACTTTTGTTTAATAAATGTATGAAAGAGGGGAAGGTACCTAGGGATTGGCGGAGAGCATGTATAGTCCCTTTATATAAAGGGAAAGGGGACAAAAGAGATTGTAAAAATTATAGAGGAATAAGTTTACTGAGTATACCAGGAAAAGTATACGGTAGGGTTATAATTGAAAGAATTAGAGGTAAGACAGAATGTAGAATTGCGGATGAGCAAGGAGGCTTCAGAGTGGGTAGGGGATGTGTAGATCAAATGTTTACATTGAAGCATATATGTGAACAGTATTTAGATAAAGGTAGGGAAGTTTTTATTGCATTTATGGATTTAGAAAAGGCATATGATAGAGTGGATAGAGGAGCAATGTGGCAGATGTTGCAAGTTTATGGAATAGGTGGTAAGTTACTAAATGCTGTAAAGAGCTTTTATGAGGATAGTGAGGCTCAGGTTAGGGTGTGTAGAAGAGAGGAGAATACTTCCCGGTAAAAGTAGGTCTTAGACAGGGATGTGTAATGTCACCATGGTTGTTTAATATATTTATAGATGGGGTTGTAAAGGAAGTAAATGCTAGGGTGTTCGGGGAGAGGGGTAGGATTAAATTATGGGGAATCAAATTCAAAATGGGAATTGACACAGTTACTTTTTGCTGATGATACTGTGCTTATGGGAGATTCTAAAGAAAAATTGCAAAGGTTAGTGGATGAGTTTGAGAATGTGTGTAAAGGTAGAAAGTTGAAAGTGAACATAGAAAAGAGTAAGGTGATGAGGGTATCAAATGATTTAGATTTAAAGAAAAATTGGATATCAAATTGGGGAGGAGGAGTATGGAAGAAGTGAATGTTTTCAGATACTTGGGAGTTGACGTGTCGGCGGATGGATTTATGAAGGATGAGGTTAATCATAGAATTGATGAGGGAAAAAAAGGTGAGTGGTGCGTTGAGGTATATGTGGAGTCAAAAAAACGTTATCTATGGAGGCAAAGAAAGGAATGTATGAAAGTATAGTAGTACCAACACTCTTATATGGATGTGAAGCTTGGGTGGTAAATGCAGCAGCGAGGAGACGGTTGGAGGCAGTGGAGATGTCCTGTCTAAGGGCAATGTGTGGTGTAAATATTATGCAGAAAATTCGGAGTGTGGAAATTAGGAGAAGGTGTGGAGTTAATAAAAGCATTAGTCAGAGGGCAGAAGAGGGGTTGTTGAGGTGGTTTGGTCATTTAGAGAGAATGGATCAAAGTAGAATGACGTGGAAAGCATATAAATCTATAGGGGAAGGAAAGAGGGGTAGGGGTCGTCCTCGAAAGGGTTGGAAAGAGGGGGTAAAGGAGGTTTTGTGGGCGAGGGGCTTGGACTTCCAGCAAGCGTGCATGAGCGTGTTAAATAGGAGTGAATGGAGACGAATGATACTTGGGACCTGACGATCTGTTGGAGTGTGAGCAGGGTAATATTTAGTGAAGGGATTCAGGGAAACCTGTTATTTTCATATAGTCGGACTTGAGTCCTGGAAATGGGAAGTACAATGCCTGCACTTTAAAGGAGTGGTTTGGGATATTGGCAGTTTAGAGGGATATGTTGTGTATCTTTATACGTATATGCTTCTAAACTGTTGTATTCTGGGCACCTCTGCAAAAGCAGTGATAATGTGTGAGTGTGGTGAAAGTGTTGAATGATGATGAAAGTATTTTCTTTTTGGGGATTTTCTTTCTTTTTTGGGTCACCCTGCCTCGGTGGGAGACGACCGACTTGTTGAAAAAAAAAAAAAAAAATATTGGATCTTCATATCTCTATGAACCATAATCTTAATAAAGAGCATGAAATTATACTTCTCTTTTCCTTTACACATAAAGGGTAGAATTATATATACAGCTATTGTTAGTAGAGTTAGGCAATCAGTATAAGACATGAAATAACTGATACGTTGCTAACATAACTCATATCAGTGTCTTCAAAGAGACATTAAATTCAGATTATCCACACAGGAAGTTTCATTAATATTCCTGTGCAAGGGATTGGAATATGAAAAGAGAATTCTAGAAAGCAGAAATCAGACTCAGCATGAGAGTACAAGGCAGAGTACTACTTGGGAGTGAGTGGGTGAACCTACTGCATGTGTCAGCGACCAGTAACTTTCATGTCAGGTTCGTCACTTAAAAAAAGCTTTGAATCCAGCCAGCAGCATAACTAGTGGCCGGTCTTTTAACTAGTGATTCCACTTTTCCTATTTCTATACATACATTTATATAGATATTAATACTAATATAATAAAAATAAAGAGCAATATCCAAGTATCATGATACATGTCTCATCAGATAATAATATAAAGTCGGAAATCTTTATTTAGCTACTAGTGAAGACGTCCACTACACAGTAATAAGTGAAACCACGTAACTGGATTATTTCTCAAATATAAAATGTCGTGCATAAATCGCAACACCTTCCCTCTCGTGACCAAGGGTCGCACCAGTAGTAGTGACAATGTCTTAATATCCCAGTATTCATCATGTATCTCTCTCACATTAATAGGAGATACTCTAAATTAATATATAGCCTACGACAAAGTTCTGTGTCTCCATTTTTTGAAACTATTTCTTCTCCATATGAGGGCAACGTAGCTTAACAGAGCGGGGATTCCATATAACTTCAAGTTAATGTTGGAGATGGAACAGGCACCACCGATACAGCAGCCGGGCACAACTTGTTCTCGTACGTGCAGAATACTGGAAGACACAGGTAGTCACAATCCCATCCATCTAGAAGCTGGAGTGGCTTCAAGGTGTATATAGCTGAAGATGAGTGGTCATGACACTAACACCTTAGCTCAACACTCTGCCTCATCAAAGTCTAGCTATAACCTCATGACTGTTGAATAGTATTAGATGTGAGATAATATATAGCTAAATAAATGAGCTGATAATAAAAGTTGCACTACAGAACTCTAAGAAACAAGTACCTGGGTAACTTTACTTCTAAATTCTCAGTTATAGTCAAGGATGCGAGAAAAAGTGTCAGCTTATATGATTTAAGTTGATGGCATAAACAGAAAAATGATAGGGAAGGGGGTCAACTGACCGCTCAGGTCGGGTGCATGTCAACTCCTCCTGCAACAAAGTCAATAAGAAATGCAATCATCAGCAGACAGCTCTTGGACCTTGACTTCATGAGGGAATGTTAGCTGTCAGACTACACAACCTATTACTAGGGAGGTTCTCTGGTACACCAGGACCTGACTGTGTACCAGGTGAAAAAAAAATCAGAATTTCTGAGTGAAGACTGGAAATTTCAACTTAAGAGTTCACTGTCCTCTCCGACCTCCACCAGCTCTACAAGAAGGACCAGGATGCCTTCTGCTACTTATGAACAGGTTAAGAACAACTATCTGGAAGACGAGAGTCAAGACAATGAAGGAATCGACCAGGATATTACCATTTAGCTCACTTGTATAGAAATCAAGTGACTGCTTAAGGACGTGTCTAGCAGCACCCTGGAGAAGTCCAACTTTGAGTACCTGGAGAAGGAAGTCGGCTTCCACAAGTTCCTGCCATTTTCGGTGTTCAACTCCATGAAGACCAAAATCTTGTGTCAGGGTCTGCAGACACACATCAAGAAGTATGGTTAACAGTCTTTCCGCGGTGTGCTCAGGTCTGGCTGGTCAATACCTGTGACCCTGATGGTGGGACCATCTGTGGGCATCTCTTATGTGGCTTACTCAGCCAGTAAGGCTCAACACAACAAATTTTGAACAAGTGCTGAATGTTAGAACATTGACCACTGACTGTTGTTTACCAAAAGGCTCGTCCAGTCGAAGGTAGCAGGAATGGCAGAAGCCTTGAGCATGACCTGTCCCAGCATCACCAGTGCTGAGAGTTTTGCTGACTCTATTGACAGATAATGTCGCCTAGTCAACAACACCAGTACTTCCCTCTGGAACACTGAAGAAGTGAACGGGTCTGGCAGCGGGAGCTCACGACACGGCTCTGAGACCAGGAGAGAAGTCAAGAGAGGCGGCGGCGGTGGCGCCTCTGCAACAAAGACTGCCTCAACCTGGCCTCTAATTGTGCTCTACACCTAGCTCTCCACAGCTCTCCCCTACTTGGAAAGCCAAAAATTTGTTCACAGAGACATATTGCCAAGAATGTGTTGGTGTATCCTCACAACTGCATCAAACTGGGCTACTTTGGTTTATCATGGTGGGTTGAGAAACTCAGTCCAGCAAGGGTAATCAAGTAGAAGGCATCAGAAAGTATGTTGAAGATTACCAGTGCTAGTGATGTCTGGAAGTGTATGCA